TGTGCACATTAGTAAGGAGATAATTAAAACTACAGTAGGTAATTATGGTAGCTTTTATTACTGCATCTTTCATTAACTAATTATATTAATTTGGTAATGTTTGAAAAATTCTTTGAAGATGAAAAGTGCTAACTATTACTACCTTTAGTAGTAGTATTAACTTTGCACTGGTCATAAATATTGAGGTCTCTTCTTGATACAGATGCACATCTGTGTGTGCAGAGGTGCTGTTAGAGCCAACAAGATTTATATAAGTATATCAAGACAAGACTGGGCCATTACCTGGCGTAATCTGAGCATGACGATCTATGACTTTTCTGCAGACACTTTTAGTTTCAAAATAAAAATGCATTTTTTTTTTTAATATTTTTAGAAGATTTTCCTTTCCTTGGTAAATACCTCTTATTTATTCAACCCTCAGTACCAAAGAGAAACATCTACCAGGTTCATCCTGATCCCAGACCTGCCGTTGGTGTGATGGGAGCAGGAATCATGCCCTGCCTACACTCAGGAGCCCACCAAAAGTATGACATTATTTTAGGTCAAAGAAGAAGAAATTTTGCACCTTTTGTAAATACAGTATCACCACAGTAACAATTAATACTAAGTAATTCAAAGTAATTATGATTTCTGTTTATGTAATTCTTACAGATCTGATTTTTTTTTCAGTGAATCCAGCACTTCTCTTTTGAAATATCCTGTGATTAAAGGATAATCAAATCAGTTTTCATGTGTTAAGGACTAAATCCTTCATATATTCCCATTTCATACTTGGTCATGTGATTTGTAGAAATCTTTCTCTTACCCGCTTTTAGTTGATTTAGATTAAGCCTTGTAACTAATGCCAAAAATGTATTCCTGCCTTGAAAAGGGATTTTGTAATGCTGGCATCATACCTTTTTCTTTCTCTGCGGCTGTCTGTCAAGACTATACACTTCACAAGTTTAGGGTTTTTTTGTTTCTTTGTTTGTTTTTTAAGAAATCCTTTGCAGCCTCAGTCTGGCACCCAGAAGCCAGGCTGAATTCCTCTGGTCTCATGCATCATCATCTCTGCGAGCTGCACGGGCCAAGCTCAGCACTAATTCCACATGTGCCTCTCTCTTGTCTCCCAAGTGCTCTCAGTTACCATGAGCAAAGTTGAGTTTGAAATGAAATTTAATTAACCATTTTGCTGATGATAATCAAGCCACAATAGAATAATAGGAAAGCAGTGCCTCGCTGGAAATGAAGCTCAGCTGTTCATTTCTCCTTTCAGATCAGCCGGTAACCAAACATGTCATCTAGCACAGTGACAATACTGGACTCATCCACCGGCTCCACTTGAGGTCCCAAAATATGACAGCAATATTTTGGTGGCACGCTCTCAAAACCATTACATTTCTCTTCCATCCCTCTCATGTCTCCCAGTGTCATATGTGACCAAAACATTTACATTATACATTTATTTTAGGATCCTTTCCATTTTTATAAATAAATCAAATGAATGTTCCTTTTATACAGCTGTAATTCACCCACATTGTTGCAGTAGAGCTTATTATCTCATTTACATTTTTAAGTGCTTTTCAAAGTGTAGGATATCTGGGCTGGAAAGCAAAACATTTCATTTCTTTGTTCTCAGGCCAACACAAAGCACTTCCAAGGTCAGGTATGGTGTAGACTTTCAACAGCAAACATGTTTACATGGCATTTGAAAGCGGGTTTAACTGAAAAAAAATACTGTCTTTATAACAGTGATGTAAGCCAACTTAGCAAAGATGAGAGAAGGGGATTAATTTTGTACCTGGAAAAACTGAACTTATTAAGTTAGGCTTTGTTTTCCATTCAGGGGAAAAAAAGCCTCTGACACTCAAAAATTGGCCTATTTTTTTTTACCTTTTTATGTCGTTTCTTCATCTCAATAGCAGTTAACTATAAACACTGTTATTCTTTGGGCAAAACCTGACACTTTGAAGCTGTGGAATAAAAACTGCATTTCTAAACCAAACCAAACTGTTTAATTTTACAAAATAGATGTTCTCTGGTGTACCTGGGATAAGTCATCTGCTGTGTTTAAGAGCTTTTGACATGGTGAAAACTTATCTGTCAGACACAGAAAAGATGTGGTGGAGCTGGGTGGCTTCAGAAATCGCTATCAGCATTCAGCCTCTGACCACTGCATGTTAAGCTTTTTGGCAATGGAGGCATTTTTCAATGTGATCTTCAAAAGGGTGCATTATTCGTGACAGCCATCCTGATTCCTCCTAGAAAATTAAAATCATGGGCAACAATCTTGCTTGCTTCTAATTACTATTTTCAGAGATAATCACATGCAGGAATCTACAGCAACCATGAGATTTTGAGTTACTTTTTTTTTTTTTCTTTTTCACATGGCTTTGATCAAGTACTGATCTTTTGGTTTTACTAGGTTGTCCTGGTGCAGAGTCAAAAGCTGAAATATCCAAATGAACACTCTGAATTACTTCTAGGGCAGCCTTTATAAACAAAGCGACAAAGTGACTGGCAGGAGAGCCAGTGTGCAACATGTTTAGGTTCACCAGCAATAGTCAAAAAATGATGAAGTTAAAAGCATCTGTGATTGTTTGGAGGCCTTTGTCTTTTCTGCAGCCCCAATACAAAAGGAGCCAACAGCCAGTTGTGATTGGAAAAGTTTGTAAACTCATACAGTACATTGGTTTCAACACTTGATGAATGGATAATTATAAAACTTCATAGTTTGTTATACTTTATGCAATAGTTTAATATATATATTTATTTATTTATTTTTAAATTGTGCTTGTTTAAGACATTGCTCTCTGAAACAGAGTATGTAGGCTCCATGCAGACAAGTACTGCCTAGAGCAGGTGGACCTAACAAAGATTATGTGTCATCTGAATTTCCCAAATGAAATTACTTCAAGATGCATCACAAACCCTCGGATTTAGAGGGACCTCTCCATTTATGCTCTGCAAAGTATGTTTGTCTGCTGTAGGAAAGTAAAAATAATCCATCCATTTTGTATTCAGTACTTGTGGATTTGTGTGATAGGTACCTGTTCCCTGAGACAAATGCATACATATACCCTCAGAAGTGGCTGGGTATATGTGCTATGCCCTGGTCATCCTCAAAGTTGTGCATTAGAGTCAAACTTGCTCCTGAGTGCTAGGAGGGAATCCTCATTTTTCACCGTGCCAAGCTGTTTGGGTTGTATAACCCGATCACGTGGAAGCAGCAGAAGGCAGCTCTGACTTTATAGTTTACCCAGGTGTGCTCTGTGAATGCTCCTGAGAGCCGTCCTGTACTGGTCATGCCTGGACACTTGGGTGTTACGGGAGGATTTTGTCAAATTAATTGTTTCTTTAGTGATCTTTCCAATACGCCAAGTGCCCTGCTCTTTGTGTGTTACATTTCCACGTTGCACAACCTGATCATTTTAAGTTTTAAAACAAGGTAGGCTTGTTTGTATTTTAAGTTATGATATTAAATGTACAAAATAAAAGCCTCCAATTCACACGCGTTTAATTATATTCATGCAAATGAATGGTGCTGCTAAACTTGTTGAGTGTTGAAGATCAGTCATATATTCAAGACTGGATTTTAACATTTCTCAGAAGTGATGATAGCATAAAAGTCCCTGGGCAGATTTGAAGTTCATGCTTGGGTCTGGTTAAATTTTTTGGCATTCGAACATGTAATAGTCTTATAGCTATAAGACTTTAAAGTTAATGCCTGGCATCACTTCAAAACAATGTGCAAGATCTATCATAAGTAGTCCTCTTATCTTATCTCCATAGCAATTTTATCCCGTAAATGATTTGAGAGCACAGTATTTCAGTGCTGTGGAAGGAGCAAGGGTTTTTTTCTGTTAAATCTTTGTACTGGTGTACTTTTAACGATCCTGATTTACGAACGGGCGTTCTGCTTTGAGGAAGCGAACGAGAACGAGAAAGGAAGCATGAGAACAAGAACCACGCCGCGTGTCCTGCAAGAGGACTCCAGGGACTCTTGGTCCCTGCTTTGCAGCACACCCCACACAAGCTCTCCGAGCAGCTCAGCTTTTAAAACAGCCACCCTGGAGGCACCTCAGTGGATCTGGTAGCGTATCCCCAGGGCAGGTCCCTGCTCAGAGCCGGTCCTCACCCTGCTCCACGCTTTTCAGCCGATGGGTAGCTGTGCCCTGATTTCCTGGCATACAAAAGATAGCTCAAAATATTCCCTTTCTGCTGCCACAGCCGCCTCTGTGCTGATGTCAATCTAACATCCACATTGTGCACTTTGCTTCAAGTCAGCACTTGCAGCTAACAATGCCTTTATTCAGGCTGACAACATAACTAAGCTTTTAGTAAGTGTGTAAGTAAACGTTAAGTGTGTATTCAAACATCCAACAATGGCTAGGAAACTTTAAAAAAATATCTTTGAAACTTTGTATTGTTTGTTTGGTGTGTATCTGTTAGAAATAACACAGACTATCAGTTCCTTGGGGCATGACTTTTCTTTTGTGAAGCACATAACAAAAAGATCAAGGCTCCGAGGGGCTGCCATAATAAAAATAAATATATAAGAAGAACAATAATGACAAAATAAATTTGTCAATGTATTTTACGAGCTCGGTTTAGAAGTGATTATTTCTGAACTAAAGAGAGACTGGATGGTTGTGGTAAAGTGACACGATCATAATATTCCCTTTATTTATTGCCATTTATGCTGCGTTTGTTGCTCACATGCTCGACTGCACTGCAGGGCAGGAGGGGAGCCCCTCGGCTCAGCGAGTTTCCCACTGCAGTAGCACGGGAGGCGATTTCACTGAAATTCCAGACAGGGATTTCCAGAGGGCTTTTGGTCTGCCTTTGAGGAAGAGTTATTTGTACGCTGCGAAAGCCCTCCCGGGAAGCACAGGTTGCACAAACGAGACACTAACCAAAATCTGAGATCCCGCAACTGATCATTGCGCCGCGTTGCCTGTGAGTCTTTGTGCCATCCCGTGGGTCTCACGTGTGCTTTGCACCCCTTGGTGTTGTTTCAGGCCTTGCAGGACGAAGCGGAAAGTTGCCGCAGCCAGGCGCGCGCCGCGGAGAAGAAGCTGCAACACAAGGAGCTGCAGGCCCACATGCAGGTAGGGCTGCTCTCCCCAGTCCCCTCCCCTTGGGCAAGGGGGTTCGATGGTTAAAAGTAATACCTTGCTTCAAAGCAAAAGCACATCTTTTCCTGCAAATTTTTCAGCGAGCTTTCTCTTCTGTTTTTGTTAATAAAAGAGAATTAAACCGTCTGAGCCCTACGGGCAAATACTTATCTCTTGCTCTCTGTTTCAAGTTGGTATTTCAGCTATTCTAGCTGTTAAATGATGCATTTATTTTCCAGTGTTTTACCATAGGTTCCTGGGACTATTCTAACCTGTTTGTTAATGGCTTGTATTAAGAGAATTATAATTGGACAATAACTGAGATAAAAAATAATCTTTATTGCTGATCTTATGCGTTCATTGTCCTAGCATGTTGTCTGTAAACACTTCCATATGATTAATACTGCTAAAATTAACGTGGACACTTTCAGTGAAATCAGAGATTTAGCGTGCTTCAAGCGAAAGAGTGCATGTAATTTACAGAGCGGTATTGAAACAGAAAGCCAATGATCTGCCTTTAAAGCAGATTAAATTGGCGCATTCAGGAAAATGTCGAGGTTGTGGATATCTGAATCGCGTGCAGATTGATGGATCTCCAATACAAATGAGGTTTTGCTGCATTTCAGAACTTTATTTGGTGGTGCACAAACTGTACCTGTAACTGCGGAGTAACTTGGGGTGGCTGTAAAAGTAATGATGAGGAATTGCAAATACGTCCCCCCAGCTGTCATTATCCTGCTTGCAGGTAGGAGCCCTTGTTCGCCCCCCGTGTTTACCCTCAGGTACTTGTGCTTAGGAAAACCAGTGATAAGCTTTACTTCTCTCTCTCCCCTTCTGCCTTACAAACGTAGAAGCTGGGCCACGTTCACCCCTAGCTGCAATGGGGAGTTCAGTGTAATCAGTGGCCGGCCTACAAGCGTTGCATTTCAGCTTCAGTCTCCCAAAAAAGAAGGGCAATTAGCTGTTTGGTGCATGGTTGTCCCTCCAGGGAAACAACATTGGCCTGAATGCTGTGAAGTGACGTTACTCTAGCAAATGCCTTATTTTTGTTAGTTTTTTCTTTAACCTTTGCTATTGCTGTTTGGCATTTTTTTTCTGACCCTTTCTGTGAGGGTATCTAGGAGGAGAAACAAAAAATGACTGGTGAAATACCGAGGTAAAAGGTAAAAACACGCGGATTGGTAGGGTGGGCTATCCTTAATGCCTCAGAGGTCTTCTCTTAGGAGATTTCCATGTCCAAGCCCACCTGCAGGAACATCCTGCCTGGGTGGATTTAACGAAGGACCAGCTCTGCTGGGAGGGAACAGTTCTCAGTATACACGTAGATCAGAAATCTTACTTAAATGACACTGCTGCGTCACCCAGCTCAGAGCTGTTTCTGCAAAGCAGTACCACGTTGGTGGCTTTGTGGTGATGCTCATACCTGAGTTCCTCAGCAGTGCTGTCCCTGCCACTCCTGCACTGAGATCTCCTGAACAGGCTGCGTCTGTTGAGACAGTTCTTGCTTAGGTGCCTTTGGTTTTTTAGGCAGACACCCATTTTGCAAGTTGTTAGCGTGTCTCCTCTGTGACTGGTGAATCCCATAGTTACGCTTTTCTGTCCAGAAGGAAAAGGCAAAAGTGACAGCTCTGGTGTATTCCCCATCGTTATGCTGAGGACAGGCTACCTGTGAGCATGTTCATCAAGCCTTAACAGCAGCTGATGACTCCTCAGTTGATTAGGGAGCTGAAATATTTAAGGCAGTAACTTACAACTTGCTCTCTTGCTTTTACAAAATATTCCCTGTGTCAGGATTGCATAAAACATCAAAATTTGCACTGGCACTGTTACAAAGGCCTCTCTTCTGAGCTTTTACATGTCTTTAAGTAAGGAGGAGAGAGGGTTAAACAGCTTCTGTTTTTCATTAAAGGGAAAAATCTTGTGTTTTGATTCTATAACAACAACAAACAAATGAATGAGACATGAAAAAACATTTTGTTGTGCTTTTAATTAAAAATAAAAAGCTGTTTCTCGTTATGGCTTGTTGGGTGGTATCTCAGTGCTCCATGTTTGTCTCTTTTCAGTGCAGTGTCCTTATAACTCTTCAGGCTCCGGGAGTGACTGACAGACCCACAGAGCTTAGCTCTTTGTGCCAGTAACCCTCTGGTGATTGCACAGAGTTAACCTTTCCGTATGATAATTATCCGGAGAGGCAGAGTCAACCCACTGACATAAACTGTCCCGTAAATAGCAGGGGAGAAGCCTGTTAGGAGGACTCTGATGGCAAGCCGTGAGCTGTCTGGGGGTGAGCATGACGTTGCAGCCCTGAGGAGCTCTTGTTTTTATGGAGCCTTTTCATTCCAGGATTTCGTGTTATTGTACGAACCTGTGTTTATTCCTGTTTACTTTTTCAATCTTCTTATGGTGTGAGTAGAAGCAATCGTGGTCTATCTGTGTCATTTCACCAGTGGGACAGATTGTCATGCTGCAGCATGGCAACGTTACGTGAATGACGTGCTGCAGTCCCAATGGACGTACATTTGTCAAAAGTGGTTTCATTCATTGCACTGTTTCCAGTATTTTACCTTTCGTTCCCACTTTGACTAACCTAAATCATTGTGCCCTTTCACTAGAGGATCTCCTGTCTCCGCTAAGCATGGCTATCTAGGGCAATGGTGCCTACGGTCAGTACTGTCATTTCTAGACTGGAGTCTCACAATTGGGTATATCAGCTGTCTTCATGTTGAAATGCTGGATGATTTTCAAAAATTAGATGTCTGACTTCTTGAGATTTTTGTAAGTGCGTTCATGGCAAGTGACAAGCTAGCAGTAAATAAAGTGTAACTAACCCCTAATATATAGCTTTATATATATAGGTTTCTTGGTATATAGTCCCAAGACAATTAAAATAGTCTGAGAAGGTTCCTAGGAAATTTGGGTGCACCTAAACGTTTTCTTTGCAAAGCAATGACGAAATTTCTTATATCTCAGTAATACATAAAATATGGAAACTGATCCCATTTAGATTATATTCCTGTACCATGTTTGAAGTATAGTTCTTGAGGTGTATTGCACGGTTGTCTCTGATACGTGCGCGGATCTAATGCAAGACAAGATATCTGACAGAAACGCCTTTCGTTCTATTAAAAATGTTTCTCTTCCGTGAATTATACAGCTTGATGCGGTTGTCAGTCATAGTTAAAAAATCCAAATTGTTCATACAGCAGATTTCACATCCTGTGTATGTGTAATTAAACATGACGCATCAGTAAGAGGTTAAGCATGTGCCTCAATGAGTATGGGAGTTTAAGCATGTGCAAAGAATTTTGCTGAATTGGGGCCTGTATAAAAAATCATGATAGTGATCTTGTTCTTGCTTTATTACCTAGATTTCTTTAAAATACCTCATTTAATTTCAATTTCCTTTTGGTAAGGATAATCAACACAACTCAGAACAGTAGGAAACTCCAATAATCTTTCTTTCGATGACTGCATGAAAGGATGCAAGATTTCTTCAGAAAGAACACGCCTATTCTTTTCATTCCTCGGTCTAATATGTTTAACTGTAGGGCTGGCTTGGGTATGAAACAAAATTTCTAATAAGGGGATGATACAGGGAAAAAAAAAGTTTGTCATGTTCATGAACAATCAAGGTAATATCACGATAGGTATTCAAACCATATGAATAGTCCTCCAAACTGCCAAGTCACAATTAGAGACTTAAAGAGAGACACTCTTTGAAGACAGAAAATCAATTATGTTCAATTCATGAATATTACTGGCGAAGGAAGGGGAATGCCAATATAGGTTTCCAGCCCTTTAATTTCTTTTTTTCTCAGATAGATTATTAAAAAGGGAGAAAGGAGTTATCTGAATAAGGATGCTGTACAAGAATTTGGAATAAAACGGAAAGGCTTAGTTTGTTAAGTGGATTTCACTTGTGTTCAAATGACAACAGGAGTGATAATTGTAAAAGAGCTATGATTCAAAAGCATTCAGCGAGTTTTCATTTTTAATGTTTATTATTCTGACTTGCTCAATATTTTATGACTGCTGGATATTTACCACATTCAGCCTAACTTACTGTTTCCATGCCAACTAAATATATTTGTTCTCAGATGAATGCTGTGATGCATCATTCTGAAATTTTAGCTGCTGTGTAGCACAGGGAACTTCTAACGTTTGCCACACCTTATCCTTGATGGGAATGGTGCTACTGTCTGCAGATTTCGGGAGCTATGAGTAAAAAAACAGCAAGACTGAGATGAGCAAGATAAGCCTATGTCCAGGGTATGCACCCCAAATAATTCTTAATGCATCAAAGGCTGGAAGACTTGAGTAATATTGTCCCTTCTGTTGAGGGCTTTTTGTCCATTTTTCCATATTATTTTTTTTTATTTCAAAGATACCGTAGAGTCTTAAATGCGCAGAAAATTCACAGAAAATCTTTGCCCTCACTTCCGTTGTCCTGGCCTGCCTTTACAGTTCCACGGCTGCTCCCACGACTTTGCCAAAGCTTTATGTATGTGATGGAAAAATGACATGGAAGGAGAGGAATTTCCTCCATCTGGCCATGGTGAGCCACAGCAGGAAGTCTGCCTCCAAACCAGCCTCGTCCGTGGCGCATGAGAACTTCCAGCTCAGGTGCCTCAGATAACTGCAAAAAGTTATCAAACTGTGCTGTCTCGAATCCTGGTGATTGAAACGTGATCCGTGGATCTCCAGACTTTCTCAAAGAGTTGTCTTTCTCAGAACACGCTGGAGTCATCTAAAACCAGGTTAATAAGCTGTAGTTTAGGTGGATGGTTGGACTTGATGATCTTAAAGGTCCTTGCCTGTCTAAATGATTCTGTGGTTCCAGGTTGGGCATTTAAATAAAAGCTTTGCTTTGTGGCCAATCTGCAGGTGAAGAGGATTCAGACAGTATTTGTTTCGCAGAGCTGCTGAGCCCTTTGGAAACTGAGAAACAAACAGTAAGCATGCTCTGGAGGTGGTGATGAAATTCTGCCATTTGCTCTGGTTGCTTCAACCCACGGTGTTGACATCCTTCCAGAATTTTCCCCCAGAGACCCGTTTGTGCTCCCACAGAAATGGGAAGCTCAGTGTAGATCTGAACGATCTTAACCACAGAAGCGATTCGCAGCGAGGAGCCCTGGCGCTGGCTGCGGAGCAGCTGCCAGTTAACCCCTGGGGCAGCCTGCGCTGGCATCAGGGCTCAGCGGGCTGTGCTGCACTGGGGAAGAAGGTGAGAATCCCAAAGAAGTTTCTACTGGGACTCGCAAGAAAATCGACACCGAATAATGTCACGTTCAAACAGCTCCTGAGGTTTCTGCATGCGACCAGCATGTACCGGGGAGGCTGCGTTTGGAGAGCGCTGTGTGCTGAGGGAGGGTGTCCCCCCCTCTGTGCCCATCCCTCCATGCCCGTTTGCTTCTCTCCTTTCTGTTTCATCTGTCACTCTGCCAGCACCCCGAACAGGAGGGTACTGCATACTTCAGCTCTTTTCCTTTCATAAAGCATTTCGAGAAATGTATACGTTTTGTGAAAAATGTAAAAGAGCAGCCCAAATGGCGTAGCTCCCCGCAGGCTGGCACCTGAAGTTCTGCTGATTCAATATCTGCAGACAGCAGATTTCTTTTCTGGCTACTAACGGTGGACAAATTTAAAGTTTAAAATATTTTCTTGGAAAAGAAGTTGTTGGAGGGCCACATACAAGCAGCAAAGAATCTGAAATAAGTGAGAGCAGCTGGTCAGTCTGTTTGGCATATGCAGACGAAGACATCTATGTCTTACATTTTCTTTCTTATTTGGGACTTCCTGACGGAGGCTGTTCAGGAAGAATGACGCTGACCCTGGTTATATTTCATAAATAACCTTTCATGGGTGTAGGTGCATCTGTAGGTGCATGGCAAAGCTGACTACGATACTATAAAATCAGTATTGTCTTTATTTGGAGCCTGATTCTTCTATTTCTATGTTGGTTCATGTCTACCATACATACAATTCCACTGATATATTCGTTAATCAGTTTGATACAGTAGTGCCCCTCCAATCTTTAATTAAGTCTGGGATTGTTACAATAAATCAGAACTTTGCATTTGCCATATTTTGTGTCTTGTATAGCATTTTCTTTAACAGCCTACTATGAAAGGAAAGCAGAATTAAGCAGAATATGGCATGCTGTATAGCATAAAGTTTCAAAACAGAAGGAAGAAGCAGCTCAGATTCAAGCACAGAAAAACAAATTTTCAGGTGGGATTTGAAAGGAACTGGAAATCAATAGAGTTGAAAGTTACCGGGAGCTCCATATGGCAGGAACTGCGGGAGAGAAGGCTCTCACCAACTGTGAGACTGTCAAAGGGAAAAGAGGTAGATGATGATGATAATGCATGTGTTGAAGTCAGTGATCAAATGTTAGCTTTGGTAATCAGACACAACTGGAAAATACACAAATGTATGCCTACTTCATAGGACTGAATGAATTATTGGAATGAAGTGGCCAGCTGGAGAAAGAGAGTAACACAGAAAGTAGAGAACAAACAGTTGAAAGGAGAAAAAATACTTTCACCAAAGAAGAATAGAAGCATATGCTGGCACGCAGGAATTAGAGAGTATTTTAACTTGACATTTTTCTAGCTCTTTGTCTTAAATAGGAGTGAATGAGAAAGAAAGCTCACTTATAAAAGAGCAGCACATCATTTTAGAGCATCTGTGGTTTGCTTGCACATTATCAATTAAAGGAATTTTGTTCTATAAGAAGTGTGCCTGGGATAGCTTTAAGTACAACTACGAACAACAATGTTGGTGGCATTTAATGCAAAGAACTAAAAGAGGAGAAGTGGCGCTGCATGGAGGAGCCAGCTGGATGACAGCAGAAAAGAGGACAGACCTCGCATCTCCAGGGCAGGCTCTCGGTGATGTGTGGTCAGTGAATTATCCCTTTCGTTTTTAACAGGTGACGAGGTGCTTGGATGGAACTGAAAAGGACTGAAGAAAGGCCAGCCTAATGCCGATTTTAACATCATCTGAATTTTACAGTGTTATTTTGTTTGCAATTTGCTCAACACCAAGTGCCATCTTTCAGAAGTACGTCGGGGAGGTGCAGCCGCAGTTCTCTCCCCCGCTGCCCTGCTCACCTGGCTCAAAGTTTATAGACTTACCAGCCGTGATGCTTCCTAAATCCGGCAGCTTGCTTTCCAGTTGAGATGCTGGTTACATTTTCCTTCTTGAAAGAGGGGAAATGGTGATAGTAAAAGTAGCTTATCTACAAAGATTTGCGTGTTCACACAGACAGTGTGAAAATACTGAGCTTAATCCCGCGTGCTGCTGAGCTGTGTCAGCTCTTGCCGTCATTAGTGAGCACTCAGCACCTCTCCTATCAGATACCAAAACCTTGACTTGCTGAACCACCCCAGGATGGAAAGGATTATGTAGAAGGTAACACATGCTGGAATGTAAAACTGAAATACAGAAATAAATTCCCATGGTAGTGTCAAAGATGCTTATAGCTTTATTTCAGACTTAATTATCTTGATAGCCTATTAAAAATTCTTTGCCATCGACAGAGCTGTAAATGAGTACCATGTGTCTTCAGATTTGGCCCCACGGTGCTGGTCGGTTCCCGGGCTGGTTTCGATTCCTGCTCTTACACGAGGAGGACCACTTGTTGCGCAGTTATGACCTCTCTGTTGGATGAAAGGATGGCACTGACAAGAGCCGAAGGAAATACTGCTCAGGGACAGGGATGGCATCTGCAGTGAGTCATCTCCAAGGAGGGGAGAAGTCAGGGATCCTCCAAATCCCAACTGGAACAATAGAGGAGCCCTTCGGAGGGGGAGGTTGAGAGAACAGCGTGAATTTTCTAGCCACAGCATTCCTGGTTGTTCCATGGTGTTGACAGTGAAAGCTTTTATTCCTCTCCAACTCGTGTAATCCCAAGAATGCTGTTCTTGCCATATGCAGCCCACTGCATTTTTTTTTTTTTTAAGTTTTGCCTGACTTCCCTTCCTTTGCAGTTATGAATTATATAGGCTCGCGTTGCCTAACTGCAAACAGAGGATTTTCCAGGTGGGAGATCTTGGTTAAGCACAGAAAGATATCAAAATACAAACCCCTGAAGTAATAAGGCCTCTTGAACGCAGGTTGGAAGAAACTAACTGAGCAGAAAGCTCAGTGTGCAGCCAGCAGCTTGGCATAACCGGCGGTCCCTGCGGGTTAGTGAAACACCAAGGCAAGAATATTTTGGATGCTCAAATGGTTTACTAGCTAAAGACAGAAAAACAAAGGGGACAGCTATGCCACCAATTTATGTTTTATTGAAACTGTCAGAACAGACGAGGTTCTCCAGCAGTATTTTCTCCGTGGAGAACAACATGGTGCACACTTGACAAAATAACTGGCTCAGCTGATCCTGCTTAGTTACTGCCCTCAGCCACACCGCGCTCATGCAATTTATGGTGTTCATTACTTTCCGTAAGAACTTGAGAACGTTTATATCAAATTGCATAATATTTCTTTAAATCCATAAGAACCGTATTTCAACATACGTTTCACAGTAAGAATAGAAGCCCCCACTGCCTGAAACAAGAGAGGATGTGGACTGAAAAGCAGCGGATATTCGTGTTTGCCTGTGTTGTGAAATGACAAATGAAGTGGCCTTGTTCTCCATTGAAAAAAAAAAAATAATACATCCCTTGATTCTTCATTAACAAAAATTGTTGGAGGAGATTTCAAGCTGTAATCATTCTTCTAGAGATCAGAACCTTAAGGAAAGGGACTACAGCTTTTGGTGCGTTCTGTTCCTTGGTTGCAGAGATGGCCCAGCTTTCCCCAGGTGGGCCCATGGAGGAAGGCGCCCCTACAGTTCTCAGCAGTTTGGGGGGAGCAGAGCTGTACTCACGTAGGGTTTAGGAGTGCTGAGAAGCAGAGGAGGCTCTGCAATTAGGGAGAACAGAAACAAGCTGCAGTTAATCATTACTTTGATATTCTTTGGCTTGGTGGTCCTTTTTTGTTGTTTTTTGGTTGGTTGGTTGGGTTTTTAGGGGGAGGTTATGTGTGCATGTTGTTTTGGTTTTGTTATTGCTGTTGTTTTAATTGAGATGGCATCACAGTAATTTGTCTTTCACTTGCCCTTTTCAAACTGCTTTCTGAAAATTACTTCAGCCATCCTCACATCACCTGGATGAAGTTGACCCGTGCAATATTATTATCCTCATTTAGGATGAAACTTTAGTCAGAGATTAAATGGTTTGCCCAAGGCTGAAGGAGTTATTTTTCCCTTTTTGGTACCCTAACTCATCTCCAGATTTATTACAACACATCTTTCATGTCTTCTGCAGAGGTGTGTACTGCAGAACAGATGCACAAACTTTTTAAAGAGATTTCTTTTTTAAACGTTATTATAAAATCATTTTAAACCACACGTCATTATTCAAATAATGCAGGAAAGAATTTGAGAGAGACAGGAAATAACTTATCTCATCTTACTTCCCTGAAATGTGGAGAAAATTTGATAATAATTACCTGATACTAATTATACCTTTTGGTCACTATCCTAGGATTTCCTGGCACACGTGGGATTATCCTCCTTCACAAATATTACAAGCAGGCAGAAATTAAGATACTAAAAACCACAAAACCCAAGTTAAGTGAGCTGCCTTTCGATTCTTATCTGACATAAACAAAATGTTGACTTCATGCCCTTCAAGACAAGACTTTTTTAATAGGAACTTCACCAACTCTTTTGTGGTACCTTCCTTTGCTTTGGCAACATAAACTTCAGTGGTTCATTTGTATTTCCCTTATGTTCCTCTGGTTCAAATCAAGTAATTTACAGCTGGGAGATCTGGAGAAGATTGCATTTTTGTAACGGTTTGAGAAGGGGATGTTGCACTACCTGGTGCACTCCGGATGGTAAAGTTGGCATCACAGACATCTTGAAAGAAGGAAATAAAAGGAGAGCTGGCTGTGAGCAGCCTAAATCCGACACGGTGTGGTTGTGGCTGTAGAGCAAAGCACGGAAGAGAAGCATTAAAACTGAAATTTGTCTTATTCTACCAAAAAGCTCTTGGGCCAGGCCTTGGCTTAGAAGCTCAGTGATGTATTTCTCTGCTGAGCACTGAATCCAATTTTTATCTCTTTTGGGAACAGTCAGTGACCAGCTATGCCGAGATCTCGTTGTAGTCTGTGAAGTTATAACTTCCCTGCTTTTTGTATCACTTTGTATAATTGTGTGAAGGTTTCTCTCCTTTTTATTCTAATTTCTTGTGACTAGCCATACGTTACCTCTGCATGGCAACTTCAGCTTTCGGTTGTTTTACTGACACCAAAGATGATTGATGGTAAAACTTTAAACCTCATATGCTAGCCACCAACCTGAATAAACAAAGAGCAGTGTGGCAGCTTAATATTAAAAGCTATAAAACCTTCCTGGGGGTTCTTGGATTAAATCAACTCACCAAAATGAATTTAAAAAAGGCTTTCTCAGGACTGAAGGAAAACGAACACAACAGTAAATGAAATAGAGCTATCCTCATCCAGAAGACTAAAGCCCTCCTGAGGGCTGAAGAATTGCAATTTTAAACATCTCTGGAGCACAAGAGGAGACACGGTATTTGTGGATCCTAGGGCGGCGGCTGGAGGCTATAAAAGAACAAAAAAGCCTTTAAGGCGCACATGCACACACACAATCCCTGCAGACATAGCTTTCATTGGTCAAAAATAAAGGCTAAAAAATAAAAAAAGCTTCCCCAATTAAAATTAGTGTGTGTTAGCCCACTGTGTGTTATCTGTCAGTTCTAAGAAGTGATTCAGATTTTTGCCATGCGCTATTTTAATCTCTTGGTCAATAAACCTTGATAGTAACCTCAGCCAAAAATATCAGCATGTTGTTTACCATATTATGACAGGAAACAGCTGGGATCTTATTTTCATCTTATTGTGATGCAATTATTAGTGAGCACAGTTGAAAGCAACATACTTTGTCTTAGTGAACAAACAAATTGTGGTTGAATGCCAAAGAACAGTTTGCACTGCGAGAAGTGTGTCTTCTCTCTGAACCCGATAAGAGACCAACCCCAAGCAATACTTCTGCTACCAGGACTTGCTTCTCCTTTACTTTCTCCTTTTTCAGCCGACCCAGTCATGCATAGCTGTATTTTAAAGCACAGTATGTGTTTCTTCCTGACTTTCCAAGAAACACCTTCATCAAAAAGGAACAGTCCCCTTGGTGCCTTGCAGAGCTAATAGCAAACATTAAAGAGCACTGGGAAAGCGACGTCTTTGGAGGACACTTGCAGATTAAAAACAACGACCTGGTTGAAAGCTGACTGCTCTCAGTGAGATTATTATTGTTTCACTCACAGAGCTGTATTCAAATTGTTGTTGTGTCTATTTAGAATGAAACCTTCTTGACGTTCCTCCAGGAAAAATTACAGTCAGGGGTCCCTGCTGCGGGCCTGGCTCCCAAGGAAGCTGCTGTGAGTCCCAGGACCCTGGGTCATGGTGTAGTGAGTTACACCAGGGTCAGCTCCTTGTGTCCCTGTTGCCCGTAAATGGGGAGCTTAAGGGCTTGAAAGCTGGGCTGTCTTTGCTGCTTGGGTCACCCCAGTGTAGTAGCAAGGTGGTGGGAAGTGTTGGATCGAACATAGCCTTGAACCTTGAGTGAATGTGGCCTATAGACAATTTGAGTAATTAAATCAACGTTTGTCTGCCTGGGGGCTTCTGCAAACCCACCACAAAGCTGTGCAGCAAAGGTGGTTTGTGGTGGATGGGATTGGGTCCATGAACTAAGCCCACATGCAGTGAAAGGGAATCTGTCTTGACTTCAAATGCACTTAGGGATGGGGAACAAGCCCAAGTGTTCAGGGACTCCCAAAACTCGGGGGAAGTGGCAGCTCTGTGTCGCTGTGCCAGTGGTGCCAGCCCAGCACCTGCAGAGCTCCCCGAGCCATCCCACACCCAAAGCCTCCTGTGGACGTCACTGGTGGTGGGGATAGATTTATAACCAGCAGAGCCATCCAGACCCTCGGACGTGTGAAATATACCTTCATCGCTCACAGTGAGGGAATAAAAGCCTTTTGCGGTTCTAGCTGCCTGTTTCTACTCCTTTCTCACCAAGAACAAATGTAAGAAATGTGAATTAACTGAAATACATGTTTCTGCTGTATCAAGGTCCCCACCCAAATGAGCAGTTGGCTCGGAAAGTATTTATGCTGGCAAAGCACCTATTCACAACTTTGTAAGCCTTTATAGAAAGAGTAGAATAAGTTTATTGGAGTAACTTTAAAAAGCATAAATTTTGATCACTGGCTTATATACAAGCTGAGTTCAAACAAGGTTTCCTGTCTTACAGTGTTTTTTTTCCTGTTATTTCTTTGTATTTGCATAGTAGCATCACTTGCAGTTCACAAGGAAAGCCTCTAATTGCCTATTTGCATAGAGATTTGGAGATTTCTTCCGCACGTTGGAATGACTCATAGACAAAATTTTCATCAGATTGTTTTATTCCTCTTACATCGATAATTGTACTGTGCATAATGCATAGCTTGGCATGCCCTGCTTTTTCCAAAGGATGGTAATTGGCCCAGCGTTGGGTGAACTTTGGGCTCGGTCGTCACGTGTGTAAGCAGGCTGGGAGCTGGAAGGTAGAAGTTACGGCTTCTTCAGATGTGAGACTGAGGTTTTGATTTGTGGTCACAATGTCAGATCTAAGAAATTTTGTAACTAAAGTAGAATCGGCACAAAGTGGTGTTGGTGTGTAGATGCATCGGAAAAAAAAGAAGTTGAAAGTTTAAGGATACTTCATAAATTAATCTGATATTGAATCCCTTTCATCCTTTATTTACATATTCAGCTAATCCAGAAAAACACCTAATTGCTTGGTTAATTTGAATTAGGCAGTTAATCCTATCGGAAGGTAAGTACAGATGTGAGGCCCTGATTCAGCAAAGTAATAAAGCGTGCAAGTAGTCCTGCAAGATGCAAAACTGAGCAAGGCTCTCGGGACTTATGCACAAGGTTCAGCAAGTGCAGTCCCAGCGGAGGGTACCAAAGCGCAATCCTTCCAACTGATGTCTTCACCTAACGCCACTTTGTACTGTTTATTCAACATCTGTTGGATAAGGTTATAGACTAGAAGAGTCTATAAACTATACTCTATACCTAGTCTATAGTCTATAGACTAGACTTCTGTAGTCGTAGTGAATTTTATGTGAACATCTCCTTTCATAACTTGTTGAAGATGCTGGAACCTATTGGTTGAGGTCTCCCAGCTGTACAATAAAACAAGCTGACGTTTTTGCCTATTGATTACTTGGAAATTCCTAATGTGCTACTCCACTTGATAGTTCTCTTTAGAATACAACTGCATCCACCTTATGGGAAGAGTTAGTTGTACAAATGATGATATTGCTATTTTACCTGATGAAATAGGCAGTCTTCTTACTGGTCGGGTATCTTTACCTGGTTATCTGCAATAAGCTATAAAACTACTAGATAAACTGGTTTGCCTTAGTTCATGAAGCATGATTGAACCATGATCTGTGAAAAGGGGCAAAGAACAATTTGCAGCTTTTGTGTATAATAACTTTAAAGCAGGTTTTAAAATACTTGCACTGGTGCTGGCAGGCCTTTTGCCCATATCCCTCAGTTGCCTAAGAATGAAATTCAGGAAGATGCAAAGTGCAATGAAAAATAGGTGCACAGTAAACAAAAAAAATGTCTTAAAAGATCCCTGAGGTTGAGAAATTTTGCAAAAACTCGCAGGAAACAGTAAGTCACCTTGTCTAAGGGAGTAAGGGGCAAACATCACTCACTGACCTGGTTAAGATCCCACCAAAGAGAAAAAG